CCTCCCGCGGAATCAACATCGTAATTGAAGTCACTCCTACTCTAAGTTCGGAATTATTAAAGACAGGATTTTTATATATTGGTTGGAAAAAGTCACCTATCTCTGATCACTTTCGCATATTAAAGTGTTTCAAGTGCTGTTCGTTTGGTCATTCTGAAGCATCTTGTAAAGCTGATCTGTCCTGCCCAAGGTGTACGCGAAATCATAAAATCAAGGAGTGTAACTCGAGCGCCCTACAATGCGTAAATTGCCTGAACCATAACAAGGTATACAAGAAGATTCTACCAGTTGATCATTCGGCTAATTTTCCAAACTGTCCTGTGTTTCTCAATTATGTTCAAACTCTAAAAGAAAGGGTGGATTATGGCTAACACTATAAAAAGTGTCTTGAAACTATGTCACTTAAATGTGCGTTCTCTAACAGCTCACTTTAATGATTTTGCCTCTCTTGTTCAAGATAAGTTTGATGTTGTAGCAGTCACTGAAACATGGCTGCATTCCAGTATTGACAGCAATGTAGTCAATATACTTGGGTATAATTTCTTCCGTAAGGACCGTGGGAGCAGAGGGGGTGGCATCGGTCTCTATGTTAAATTAGATATTAGCACTAATCTTATCCCAGTTGAGCTCGATGACTTTATAAATCCTCTTGAAATGTTATGCTATAAATTTAAACTGCACGGGTCCAGTATGTTAATTGTTGTTATATATAGGCCACCACATTGCTCTATACATCAAGCCATCCAGTGTTTAGAAAATCTTATCTCATTTTTCACTTCCCAATATGACAACATTATATTCTTGGGCGATATGAATGTCGACTTGCTTGCTCATAACAACATCCTCAGCAGCTCCTTTGATTCATTCAATTTCATTCAAGTCATTGATGAGCCTACACGTGTTACAGCCTTCAGTTCCACATTACTTGATCCAATATTTGTTAGTGACAATACTATCGTCAAAAGGTCAGGGACACTCAATGCAGACTCAATTAGTGATCATCGGCTCACATACTGTGATATTTCCGTTTGTTATAAAAAAATAGAGCCTAAATTTGTAACATATAGAAATCTTAATAGCATTGATATTCAAAGTTTTAAGGCGCAGATTGCATCAATGCTGCTTAATGACATTTATTTCGTGAATGATGTGGATATTAAAGTCTCTATTTTTACTGGCCGTCTTCTTTATCTATTCGATCTCTACGCTCCGCTACGTACAGTACGTGTTACAAAACCTGCTGCGCCCTGGCTCACTCCTAACTTGAAAATGATTTTTCAACTCAGAGATGAGGCATTCGCTGTCTATCAGCATAACAGATCTGATCAGAATTGGGCCAGCTACAAAGATTTGAGAAATTATGCCCTTGCATCGCTTAGAAGAGAGAAAAAAGCATATGTATATGTCTCGTTTCCGGAATCTTAACTCTAGTCAAGCTTGGAAACACCTGAGGAGGATGAATGTGGTAGCCCAGAATCATGTTAAGATACCTCCCAGTCTCCTTGAGCCTAACATTTTAAATAATTATTTTCTTTCAATTTTTCAGACAGCTGCAGCTGATACAAATTTGATTGATAGTGTCTCTAACTCTTATAGCGATAGACGCCATACACCGGATGCACCTCTGTTTGCTTTTAAACTCCTTACTCAGCAAGACATCGTCAATATAATCTCTCACATTAAGTCTACGGCATGTGGCTCTGATGGTCTAACTTTAAATATGGTTTGCTTATGTTTGCCTGATACCATAGACCATATAACTCACATTATTAATGTCTGTCTCGAAACAGTGAAAACTGATCAGGGATTTTCCTCCTCTGAGCCAGTTCCTTCAGGAGTTCCTCAGGGCTCAGTATTAGGTTCCTTACTATATCTGATTTATACGATCGATCTGCAAGACTGTTTAGTCCACTGTAGTGTGCAAACTTATACAGATGATACTCAGTTAGTGTTTGGTTTCGATCCATCAAAGGTTGATGAAGTTTCTTTTAAAGTTAATTTAGATTTGGCTAACATCGGTGATTACTGTAACAAACACTGCTTGAAGATCAATCCTAATAAAACTACTGCAATGTTGTACTGTTCGAAGAACTCCTACCATGAAATGAAGCAGAGGATTTGTGTTTTTTTGGATGAGACACTCATCCCTTTTGTGGATTACGCCAAGAATCTCGGTGTTACCCTTGACTTAAATATGAGATTCGATCGGCATGTCTCTTTCTTATCTAGAGTAACGTATTTGCGTTTGAAACTCCTCTATTCTAATCGATACATCTTGAATTTTAAAACCCGAAAAAAGCTTGCTGAAAGTCTTGTGTTGTCTGTCATTTCTTACTCTCTTGTTCTGTATTACCCATGTTTAGACTACGTCCACAAAAGGAAACTCCAGAAAATTCAGAACAGCTGTTGTAGGTTTATTTTTGGATTGCGCAAGTTTAGTCGCGTCTCAGATAAAATCAAAGAACTCAACTGGTTGCGAATTGATAAGTTATTTTTATATCTTGTGACGGTCTTCACGCATAAAGTTCTATTCACTAACAGACCAGCTTACCTCGCTAGAAAATTAGTTCACCGAGGTAGTTTTGTTACCAGAGCTCTTAGATTTAATGCTAATTTTAACATGCCTCCTCACAATACCTCGGTCTTTGAAAGAAGTTACACCTATAATGCTGTCAAGCATTACAATGCAGTCAACAGTGGCTATCGATCAAAAGCGGTTGTTTCTTTTAAGAAATTAATGAAAAGTCAGCTGCTGGAGTCCATTCAGTTCTGTTTTTCTTGTGCTCATATGATTTTTTTTTTTGTTTGACTATTTTCTACTATTTTTGTTTCAAATTTAAAACTCTCGCAATGCTATCTGCATTTGTCTCATGCAATCAATGTTGTCATTCTTATGAATTGTATTTTTTTTGGTATGTTATTGTTTTGTTTATGTGTGTAAGTATTCTTTTTTCCTGTTGTGGGGTTGAGTGTAAGAGTAGCCGTCTGGCTAAACTTCGCCTCACTGCAGTTAATAAAGGCATTATTATTATTATTATTTGGTGTGTTTTTGTTTTCTACCTGAACAAATTAAGATAAATAAAGATATTTATAATATTCTAAAAAACGAATCGACCGATTTAAAAAAATTAAAAGTCAAAATAAAGAACTTCGATGACCTTTCAAAAAAGGTATTACTCGATACCCCTTATTGTCATTTAAATATTTTCAGGGGATGACCCTGGGGGGCAGAGCGTGAAAGGGGGTGAAGTAGTTTTTGGTTAAAAAGTTGTCCCCCTTGACAAATCATTCGACGTGTCTCGGCGTTTTTTCTTTTTTCTATACAAATACCTTAAACACACTAGCTTACTAGAGAAGACGAGGAGAGTCTACATTAATTGAAAAAATCATCAAAATCAAGCAAATGATTCTGGCAAAACAGTGATAGGATTGGCTATTTTTTGATGATGCGTTAATTTTTCCGGAAAACATTTCAGTAGAGTGATGGAAAAGGTATATGTGCTGAGACCTTACACATCGCATCTGCAATTCTTTGATTTACACATTTGTGGGTATTGCGTTGAGATCGTGTAATTATCTGGTCGAGTAATTTAATACTCGGCGAAACCGGGTACACAGTAAAATGCGCCGAGTACCAGGTACAAACCGAGTAATTGGTGCATCATTAGTTTTTTGTCTCAAATACACTTACTTTAGATCTACCCAAAGCTAAAAATCAGTTGCGCATCAATTTTATTTTATTCACTCTGGATAACATTAAATGTGCAAATTTGCTGAAATTACAAAATGTGAGAAGGGAAAAATAAAATCCATCTATGGTGAAGGATATTTACAACTAAAAGATGAGAAAATGGGCTACGATATTCTAGTGAGAAATTGGATAATGAAAAGTATTTTATACTTGCTAAGCCAGATATATCGACGGTTGTTCATACAAAGTTACATGTAACAACTGACATAAGAGTAGTTGATCTTACCAGGTTGATTATTAGTTGTGTTTCTTTACTGCTTTTAAAGCCAGCTCTTGCATCTCGTACAGCTGTTCTGGCTCACTATAATCTTTGATTTTAAAAGCAATTGCTACTCGAGACCTTTGGCTTTTGATTACTTTCATTTCTTATCAATAACCTCTTCCTATCTTGCAATCGCGATTTTTACTCTGATACATATGTATTTAAATTCAGTATCACTCCTTTGAACTACTTTTCAAAGTTGCCTAAGGTACGAGGTCTGTAAATTAAGTAATGAAACTGGCGACGAAGCGATTGATCTGGCAACACTGGCGGCACCGGGCTTGCAAGGGAGACAGGGGAACATTTGATCCGCCTTCAGTACAAGTTTGAACTCGCTCGGGTAATTTGGTTGTCCGTAGCAATCTTTTTTTCGAACTCTCCAAGGCCCAAAAAAGCAATAAAGACGAAATTGAAAATAAAATGCATGCTGATTTGTTTTTCCGATATCCACAGAATCGCCCACAAAGGGTTTCTACCTCAAGGCCAAACGGTCAATCGATACTTTTACCGGGAGGTTCTTGGAAAATCTCGATAAAGGGTCATTCGTGTATGACCAAACAAGAACAATCGGGTGCTGCATCACTATAATGATCATTGTCAAACAGCAATGTCAATAAACGAGTTTTTGACCAGTAAAAATATTAATGTAGCTCCTCAGCCTCCTTATTCGCCTATTTGAAAAATCACCTCAAGGGAACTCATTTTGAGACAGTTGAAAACATTCAAATTGCTGTAACCGACCAGCTGAAGGCTATTCCAGTGTCGGAGTTCTAACACTGCTATGAGGGGTGGAAGAACCGTCTCCAGCACTGCGTGGCTTCAGAAGGAACTTATTTTGAGGGTGAGAGTAAAATAATGTATTTAAATAAAAAAATGAATTAAAATCATTGTATTACTTAATTTACCGACCTCGTATGTCTTTTTCGCGCCATAATTGATTAACGTATGCTCCTACTCAACTACCATCTACTTCTGCCAATATTCCAGATGACGAAGACTGTCCAGAATGCGAAGAGATCCTCCAAGCTTTGGAGGAGATCGACGGCGAAGCAGACCTGTTCGGCATCGATTTCGTGAAGATATGCAGCGCACAGGCTGCTGCGGACCAAGGCCTACACACACTGCCTGCACTGATGTACTTCAGAAAAAAGAAGCCCATGGTGTACGATGGCGACCTCACGCAGTCGGGCAAGGTCTTGGATTGGCTGACGTCGCAAGATGTGTTTGAGATCAGAAATGAGATCGAGGAGGTCAACAAGAAAATGCTGGAGAAGCTGTTAGAGGAGAACGAATATGTTACCGTATTCTTCTGTAAGTCATCTACAGTTTAAGATCATACATTCTTGTATTTCTCAATTGATCAATCATCAGTAAGGTAACAAAACGGTCATCAGTTTCATTAAAATGCATGTTTTTCGTAACGATAATGCATCTCAGAATGATGATTTCTCTATTGAGATCTATTTTCTCAATGATATTAAATATCACTCAATCACAGCAACAATTATATCGAAAGTAGTGGTGTCATTTTGTAGAGATTATTATTACTTATGCAAGATGTACTCTGGATTTTATCGACACCACTTTCTTATACGAAAATTCTGGTTTACAGAAACTTCCGTTGGATACCCTTATTCCACTCCATCAATGTCTTGTGAGAAACTAAACTGGGGTCGTGGTGTCGTGTCAAGTAAATCATAGAAGTATGAAATATTGATCAACAGTTATTCAACAAAAATCATTTGTCTGTGACTCCCTTTAAATTGTTCTGCATCTCCAACATATTTACTTCCCGCAACACTGACGGAGGAAGTTTTGTAATCACAAAAAAATTCTAAAATCAGATTATGTTTTTTGGATGTTATATGACACGTTCATCACAAAAAAACGTATCTCTCATTTCGGTCGGTCTGTCGGACAGTCTGTCTGTCGGACTGTCGATTTATCGCCATTCAGTCTGTCGGTATGTCGGTCTATCGGTCTGTCTGTCGATCTGTCTGTCAGTCTGTCTGTACACTTATCCTTGGCCAAACTATAACTTGAAAAGTACTGCTCGGATTTGGATGAAAAGCTTATGAAAGGTTACTACTACGCCAAGGACAAAAAGCTAAAGTTTTTGAAAATCGGTCTAGTGTGGGCGAAGGAAAAAGTATTTAGGAAAAATATAAACGCTTTTACTTTATTTTCCGACTTTTCTGAGAATACTGATCATTTTTGAAAAATGTGTAAGGGGTGGTGAAGAGATGTAGGGGGTGGGAGAGGGTATAGGGTGTTTCAGTTTATTGTTGCATAACTTTAAGATTCGATAGAACTTTTAAAATTAATGCATGAAGTCTATATAAACATGGGTCGAAAAATGCGTGGCTTCCGAAATACAGGGTGTTTAAATTTACTTTTTACAATATTTTTTTTAAAATATTTCGAACAATATTTGATGTGTAACAGTGAAAATTGGTATACAAGGGTTTTTTGGTACGACAAAACGAACCATGGGCATAGTTTTACTGTAGCCGCTAGAGGGCGCTCTCTACTGTGTACCTGTAGTGTATTAAAATGACCAATGACCATGCTTTATGAATAAAAAAACTGATTCTTCGCACTTTTCAACATAAAAAAGCTCTCTTGTGAATTTTCGTTATAGTTAGCCGTTTTTGAGATATTTCGATTTTTAAGGTTCGATGAATTTTTAATTATTTATGATAAAATAACGTTAAAAAGTCAGTATCTCGATAATTTTTAGAAGTAGGCTGTGTCTGCAAATATTTTTGAAATTGAAAGCAGAATAAAGTTAAACGTCAATTAGTTGACAGTTAGTTTTGTTGTCTGTTGAAACCTGAAACGTTTTTTTGCAATTGTGAATGCACGAAATTAAGTTTCTTTTACCTGTTTTTTTTTGTAAGTTTTATAAAAATGCCATTTTTATTCTCCAATCAAGAGTTAGCGGATATTCATTTTGTGTATGGCTTTGTAAATGGAAACGCAGCAGAAGCAGCCAGAGAATACGCACGAAGATTTCCAAACAGACGACATCCAACTCGCTCAGTATTTGTAAGAGTGCATCGCCAAATAATTGAAAACGGTTTTGGAAATCTCCAAAGGGATCAAAACATAAATGTTCGTCAGCGCAGATTTACCCGTATGATTCTGCGTGAGTTTGATAGATAGTCCTTACCATTTGCCACCTGTGCAAGGACTACAGCCAGGGGACGGAGAACGAAGAATCACATTTTGTCAGTGGATTTTTGATAGAACTGATAATAATAGGGCGTTTTTAAGTAACGTTTTATGGACCGATGAGTCATGATTCACTAGACGTGGAGTGGTAAATTTTCATAATCAACATATTTGGTCGCATGAAAATCCGCATGCAGTTCGGGAAAGAAATTTTCAGCATTAATTTAGTGTGAACGTGTGGATTGGTATCTACCGTAATCGACTATTTGGATCCTACCTTTTGCCTGCAAGGTTAAATGCTGCGACCTTCTTGTAATTTTTAAAGGCTGAACATGCAAATATGTGGGATGATGATATGTTAGATTTAAGAAGATTGGCCCGGTTCCAGCTTGATGGTTGTCCAGCTCATTATTCGAGAATAGTTAGAAACTGGCTGGACGAAAATTATCCAGAAAGATGGATCGGCCGTGGAGGACCAGTCGCCTGGCCTCCACGATCCCCTGACCTAAATCCATTAGATTTCTTTGTGTGGGGATTGCTAAAAGAAAAAGTGTACCAGACTCCCGTAACCACAAGAGATATGCTAATAGACATAATCAGGAATGCATGTGATGAAATAAGGCCTTATTTGAATAATGCTATACGTTGCTACACGTTCGATCATTCGTAGATGTGAATTGTGTATTGAACAATTTTGTTTACATTTCGAGCAACTACTTTAGATTTTGTATGTTTGTCCTAACTATCCAATAGCATTTTAGTTGTAAATAATTAATTTAATTTGTTAAAAATAATATTGGAAAATTAAACAAATTAATATTCTATTTTTTGTGTTTATTTGGAGTTAGGAATTATTGCTGTGTTTATAAACACAATCTAAACGATCATCTTAATTACATGTAATGCCCAAATCGAAAGCTTAAAAAAAAATATTATTTTCCCATAGATAATTAAAAATGCATCGAACCTTAAAATCGAAATATCTCAAAAACGGCTAACTATAACGAAAACTCACAGGAGAGCTTTTTTATGCAAAAAAGTGCGAAGCATCAGATTTTTTTATTCAAAAAGCAAAAAATTGCACTAAGAAAAAATTTTCGGTCATTTTAATACACTACAGGTACAGTAGAGAGCGCTCTCTAGCGGCTACAGTAAAACTATGCCCATGGTTCGTTTTGTCGTACCAAAAAACCCTTGTATACCAATTTTCACTGTTATACATCAAATATTGTTCGAAATATTTAAAAAAAACTATTTTAAAAAGTAAATTTAAACACCCTGTATTTCGGAAGCCACGCATTTTTCGACCCATGTTTATATAGACTTTATGCAATAATTTCAAAAGTTCTATCGAATCTTAAAGTTATGCAACAATAAACTGAAACACCCTATCAATTTTTTTATATTGGTTTATTGATAAACTTCCAACCCCGGTAATTCTGCCCACCTATTAGACATTTCCACACCTCGTACATTTGCCCCACTTGAAACAATTTCAGCAGAGGAAACACATATCGGTCGCACCACTGGGCTATTTATATTAATATTGCATCTTTGGTACTCAATTCGAGTGACATAAATGGAGGTACAATAGCAAGTGGCGCGGCGACAAACGAGGTGTCAAGTCATTATAATCAGTTTTTAAACATTGTAGATAAGCAGTTTCACACCACAGCTCAAAAAAAATTAGACTTCCGTGTACGGACACGCTCATTGCTGCAATCTGGGGTATTTTCTATGCATGAATAGCCAAGATAGTGCATTGATGGTTCTGACGAAACATACGTTTTTATGTCATTGTACTACATGGAAAATTGTATTAGAATTTGTATTGAAAGCGTGGGTGGTATAGAATTATATTCTTTAGTACTCTCAATTGATTGGTACATTTATTATAACCAATAGTATTTCGTTTCAATAATGGCACCGACGCGCGCTACCACTGTTCACGAAAGATGAACGCAATCTGAATCACGAGGTCAATTGGCAGAGGAACTGGTTACTGCATTTCATTGTCTCATTGATTGTCTAGTTTAAGCTTTCTATAAAACCACGCTTCATTGAAGAGCCGTTTAGTTGTTTTTTGTCCACGCGCATTAAACTAGGTCACTAGATCACAGCTTTATGTCTGATGGTCAGCAGATTTTTGCTACGATAACGGGAAGAGCTGCGTTACGTAGACGACTTCCAATTCACTGTCTGAAATTCTAGCTAAAGCGAAGATATATTGCTTCCTTACATAACGTTAAATATGTGAATGAAATGTAGTACTCACTAGTTTTCCTTAATTTTGTTTATTTCTAAAGACTGTGAAACCTTGTTTTTGGCCCCCATGCTAAAAAGAGGGGTGTTACAAGTTTAACGGGTGTATAAGTGTTCGAAATGCCAATAATAAATAGAGGCGGACTTGTTTGTTTTTTTGTTGTAGATTTATTTAGCATTAATGCTACAATATCAATGTTACACAGTACATCATATAATATATTGTGTCTTCAAGACTACATATTTTTATACAAAATTTCAGTATTATAAATTCTGGTTTTAATATCCCTCTTTAAATATTTTCAAACTGGCGCACAACTTGATATTATTACTTACATTACTAAATTCATACAATCCTTTTCGAAATACTGATTTGTTTGTTATATTGGTACTACAATTTTGCAAATGAAAGTCTATGTTCGTTCTAGTAGAATAACTATGATTCAATGCAATAAAATTTTCTCAGTAATTTGGTAGAAGATGACTTTTTTAAATTGAATATGAAAATGAAAATCAAGTAGGTGATGAAATTTTTGATAATTAACCATTGTAGTTCTTTCAGCATCATCTTTATTCTAGTATATTCATTTTTATTTAAGATGATTCTCGTAGCTTTATTTTGCAATACTTGTAATTTTGAAAATACAGTTTCGTTTGCAATGAACAAAATAGTTGAACAATAAAACAAATGAGGAAGAATGATAGAGTTGTAGATACACACTTTTTTTAGAATAAACGCTTAGGCTATGCTAAGTAATTGATCTTTTTGGATATTTTTGAAATAATATATTCATAGTGCCTTTCAAATTTAAATTTACTATTTACAAATGCGCCCAAATATTTAAATAATTCGATTGACATAATTTTTTCATGGT